GCAGCACCTAAGTGGACACATAGGTACTACAGTAATAGGGTATTGGGCAGGGGGGAGGGGAGTGGGTATATACATACATAATGAGTGAGATGCGTACCATCTGGGGGATGGTCATGCTGGAAACTCAGACTTGTGGGGGGTGGGGGGAAAGGGCATTTATTGGAACCTTAAAATCTGTACCCACATATATGCTGAAATAAGAAAAATAAAATAAAATAAATGCATTCCTGATATTAAACTTCTTAAAGAGTAATATTAGTATATAAACATAATAACATATGAATTCATAAGCCAGGATCTTGTCTAGTATAGTAACAAAGAATTGCTGCTAAAGTAAGGAAGATTAACTAGGGTATCCATTATTAACCCTCTTTTAATATTTTAATGGAAAGTCTAGTCAATGCAATTAGATAAAAGAAATAAATAATACCATAGAGATTTAATAATTATATACAAAAATGAATAATCTTCAAATGTACAACCATGTGTTAGAAGGTAGAAATGAAAAGATAGACCCTATTTATAGCAAAGCAGAAGAAATAAATGAAAGGCCCTTTAAAAATGCTTATAGTGATGTACATAACTCATTTAAAAATTAAACATATTTTGAGACACAATGGATTTAAAGGTAAATAAAAAGCCATACTATTGGTTGCAACAAAATTATAACTACTCCTTGGAATAATTTAACAAGAAATATGAAAGACTTATGTGATAAAATCTGTGAAATCTATAAAAGTTTCCTAAAAAGCATAAAAGAGGGCTTAAATAAATGTATTGAAATGCCAAGTTTATCATTGTAAAGATATCAATCTCTCTAAATCTACCTATACCCAAAATCAAACTAATAAAGACTTTTAAAAGTTAAACCTGGAAACTTGATTCTAAAATTGATCCTTCCCTATCAAATATACCCATGTTCTATAAAAGTAATTACCTAAATAGAAAGTTAGTGGTGTAATTGACAAATAGAATTATAGAAAAAACAACTTTCTATAAAGAGATTCAAATCTAGACACGAGAAAATGGCTCACTCTAATCCTTGTGACTTCTTTTATGTTACATAGGGATGTCCCCAAATGTAGCAACGTCTCAACAGCCCTGTAGAGGTATGCCCACCACATCCAGGTTCTGCAAGGGCCCAAGCATGAATGAACTCCTGGCAAGAAAATAGGTAGATTGTGTTGACAGTCCTCATCCACTCTGAGTTCTCTAGGAAATATTTAGACTTTTGGGTCTTTTCCCAGGAATGGTAAATCCATTATCATATAAGCCTAGGGGCTGCCAAAGCACCCAAACCTCCTATGGAGGTAACTGGCTTTGTACCTTCTAAACCCTTTCAGAACCTAATACATAGAACTGGAACCATGGACAGGTCCAGCTCAGAAGTGGCCACTCTTAAAAACCATTCTGATCCAGCAGTTATTGATATCCCCACAAAAGGATATCAAACCCCATCCACTGTTTCACCAGGAGAAGGCTTCTAATTCTGTCACCATGTGGGTCCCTAATAGAGCCTGAATTCTGGGCCCAGAAACTCAGGGCAGGTCTGGCTTAGACAGAAACACTAGCGCAGGGAGACAGAGGCATGGGAGGCTAGCCCAAGGGCACCTTGGTTTCAACCCCACCAACATGTAGCTGGCTGCTGTCACTGCTTCTAAATTATTCTTTTCTAGAGATCCTTCTCAAGTATCAGCCTTGGTCTTATTTGAAATTTTCCTCTCCTGAATGAAGCTGTAGACCCAAAAGGCACCAAGGAAGATCCCATAGAGCTGTGGGCATATCAGGTACTCAAAGCTGCCATGAACCTCTCAGCACTCCACATCCCTGTTCATTTCTAGGGCCTGGATGTAGCTAATAGTGACTGTAGAAATGACATGAGGGTTGGTCTTAGATTAGTCTCTGGCTCTGGAATCCTAGACCTATTTATTGCTAATATTGGCTGAGACCAACCAGCAGATAGCTATTGTTGAAGGTAAAGCAGGTCGTTAACTAAGTGGCATCGGCAATAGAATTGGTGTTGGACATAGGTTCTGCCTCTGGCAGTCTATACTCAATTTAATGACTAAAATATAGATTTCAATTTAATCATTGGTGAACAATAATTACATGCCAAAGTTCAAAATATTAATTCTGAGACCTGACATTTATTTAATGGAGAAAGAATCATCATAAGGTTTTATCAAACCTAACTTATTTAGAATATCATAAGTATTCAGATAAAGAATGATGAAATAAAGTTTGCTATTAAAATAAAACTTATTTCTTAATATCAAGGCAATATATGCTTATTATAGAAGTAAAAATAATGAAAGCAATTACCACTCCTAGTCCTGCTAGAGAATTTCATTTTGATCAAGATATTTCTTATCTTACTGTCTGCTGAAATTCACTTTCAATTATTTGGTGTATGAAAATTAGTTGTACTAACCTAAGACTTAAAAATGTATATAACCTTAATTTTTAAAAACAGAAAAACACAGACAATAAAAATTTAGAAATCAATAACATCAGTTTCTTATTTTTTTTTTCTAAATGTAGTTTTAGATAGGTAAGCTGATTCTGTATGTTGTAACTTTTTTAACCATATTGAACACTAATATATTTCCACATGCAAGCAGGAACAAAGTAGTAAGAGGTTTCTAGTGATGATAAATGTCTGGTCATTTACTGGTATTTGTTAATTAAACAATAAAAGCCACAAGTGTACATGATTTAAGAATAGGTAATTCAAATTCCTTGACAATTAAAATGAAGTTTTCTTTTTTTTTTCTATTGCAATGGAATTTGTGTAAAGGAATGCAAGTAACAACAGTTTAGCCACTGCTTGTTAGTGGGTTCTAGAAAAAAAAGGCACTAGTTCTCCTTTTAAGCAGCCATCAAGCATATACAGAGATTCTGTCTAACCATATGATAAGGACAAGCTTATTGGAATCACACTTTTTGGGAACAGCAATGAGACAAAAACAGATGAGGAAATGCAGAGAGTGTCAAACTTTCTTCTTGGAAATGCTCGAGTTGCAAAAATGCATCATAACACATACTAGAATAACACTTTTTGGTCATAGTGATTTGGTAATTTCTTCCGCATTCAGTAGCATTTCTGGTCATGTGATAGGTATCCCTTTGTATGTCAGTAATTAAGCAGAATACACTCTTATCTGTTTTTTAGTATCTTCCCTTTGTTCCATAGAGCACTTGGTCCTAGGTTTGTAAGAAATATAGAATTGAAATTATTCCAACAGTGAGTATTTGTTTCATCAGTAAAATGTGGAACTTTACCATTTTGTTTCCAAACCTGATGGAACTGTCTATCATTGTTTGATTAAATGACTAGGGGTAGGTATGTATACACCACCTTAGAATTCTGCATATTGCGCACACAGTACAAACACACACACATTTCATATTCTTTCTCTGTGTATTTTTATTATATTTGTAATTATCTAACATATTATATATTTTATTCTTACATTTATTTTACTGCACTAGAATTTAAGGTCTATGAAGGCAGGAAGTTATTGTGTTTTGTTTACAACTCTATTTTCCATACCTAGATTATGACTACCACATAAGTATGTATACAATATGTATTTGTTTATTGAATTATGAAATGAGGCCAATATAATTCCCAAATTATGAATGAGAAAATGGTAGCTGATTATTTAACAGTGTCATACAAATAGTAAGTAGTAGAGCTAGAATTTAAAATCAAATTAGACTTAATGTAGTTTACATTTTATTTCTAAGCCAATATTAGTGCCTGCAAAAGTAAAATTGCCTTGTGTTTTATCTCCCTAAGGGTCTAAATTGTATCTAAAAATAGGAAGTGGGTATATTGTGCAAGCCACACACAAGAAAACTGTTGAATATTTCTTACTGTTCTTGCACTATCCTCAATTGGTTATTTGCTTGACTCATCAGTGTATCAGAGGGCCACTACTAAATCCTGCCCAAATCTGCTTTAAATTTATGAGTTTGAAATCACTAACCAGCCCTATCCCTTATATCTACAGCTGTTAACAAGAAATAAAATATACACTGATACTGATTATGCCATCCTGCCAGAAACTCTCTTTCATTGCTGCTCTTTTTATTTTACACGTACAATATACTTAAAATGGTGAAAGAACACAGGAACAGATTTTATGTGCCTGAAGGCTCCCCCCACAGAATTTTAAATAGCGCACAGACTCTTTGCAAAAGCATATAGGAGATTGCAACCATTAAGAGGCCACGAAAAAGAGGACAAAGAACTTAACAAACATTTAGATTCCCCCACAAAGCACTTCATCTTTGTCAGAATTTAATTTAAAACATTTCTGACATTCAATTATTCACTGTAGACAGACTCTGAATCAGATCATCTGCTGCCAAAGCTAAATTATCAAATAGAGAGATATAAACCTGAGTGTTTTCTGCATAATGATAGCTCATAATGATAAAAAAATTCTTCCTAGAGGCATCATGTACTGTAGATATTATCACAGATTCCAAGAAGGAAATGGAAACCTAAACAAATATGCTTGCTTACTCCGGAACACAGAAATACCTTGAGAAATAAAGTTGAAACTCTTAGTAAAGATTTTAATTGGATCTAAGCTTGATTTAATACATTTTATGTTGTTATTTTACCAGTGTCATCCATTTATTAACACTCTTTCAAATTGTCTTTCTTTTCTATTTGCATTTTATCTTGTTGACATGTTTTAATGAATATTCAAATTTGATGGATTAAAATAGATTAACAACTAAATATAGCAATACTGCCTCATACTCAGGGTGATATTATCATGCATTAAATGGAATTTCTGTTAACCCCATGTGGTGTATATACATCAGAAAGGTCTCAAATATCTCACAAGGGTGTTTCCCAGTCTACAACTAGATATTCCACTAAGGGAGCACCGGTAACCTTTATCGTCTAGTTGCTGATAGCAATTAGGTACAAGATGGCACAATCCTAATGTTTGACCACTTGATTTTTGGCATTTGTTTTATTTTAAATATTTTTGGCAGAGTTGCCTGCCTGCAGACAAAATGATACCTTCCATATTGGTAATTCATGTTACGTCATCAGGGTCAATCTTCTTTTCAGGCTGGGCACTCTTCTACCCACTCAGCTCCTCACCAGTACAAATCATAGGATGAAAGTGAGACTATACTCCTGCATTCTTCACAGTTACTCTCACCTAAATAGAATACACATCTCATTTTCTCTTTTAACACGTATCATTTCTATGCCTTACAACTATGTTCGGTGTCAGTGAAAATGATTGTCATATAACCTGAATCCCCCTTCGTTAAGAGAAATGGAAGCTCAATTTGAATGAAGATATACAAAAAGAGTACTTTAACTTAAAGATGCATGGCATCTCACAATATTGAAAAGAATGGCTGAGATTTAAGAATAAATAGAATCAGGAATTCAAATATTATAAGGATGCTCTCTCATCTCTGCTTCCTTTATAACATGCTCATTCTTCTCCATTAATTATACCTTTAGTTTAACTTCATTCACTGTGTTAGCAGCACCACATTCAGCACAACAAAAGAGAAGCCCATAATCCTCCCCATTGTTTGATACACCCTTTTTAACACACCCCCTTTCCTGAAATCCTAACTTCAGTAAATAACTTTGCCACTAACATGTGTTAATTTCGAAGCCAGAAACATAGGTACCATCTCCATCCTGTGTTAACCATTCTCTTCCATAATCCACACCCAGATACCACAATTTTTTAATTATACCTACTCAATTCTTCTCTCTTATTATTCTCAACCTCCTTCATACTATTTGGATAAAGAGCAACATGCTCTCTTCTCAATTATTGCAGGAGTTTTACAGTTGGTATCTCTTACCTTTGCCTTCCTTTCCTCCAATCCATTTCCATGAATCCTAAAAGAGAAGCCTGATTGTTCTATTATGAATAACTGACCATTTCATTATGCTACTTAATTTGTTAATTATATTCCCATTTCTCAGAGTACAGTGCAAACTTCATACAGTTTATGAGGCCTACTTAGCATGCCTATATATTTTCTCCAGTTTTATTCACTAGATTCCTCTTATCCACAACGTATAATATGCTATTTTACTTACTCCTGGTCAAATAGGCACATTTGGATATCCTCTTTACCTGGATATCCATAATAGTTTTCCTATCTCTGCTCCTCTGTAACAAATTGTCACAAGCTAGTATCTTAGAACAGCACAAATGTACTATGGTTCTTGCTGGCTAAACTCAAGGGATTGGCAAGCAGTACTCTATTCTGAAGGTTCTAGGGAAGGAATCATTTCCTTGTTTATTCAGAATGTTGACAGAATTCTGTTCCTTGTGATTAGAATAGAACATACTAAAAAACACTGCATTGTGCACTTTAAAAGAGTTATATGGTATTTGAATTACATTTCAATAGCTCAGTTAATTTTAAAAAGGTTGCATATTCACCTATTTAAATAGAGCACTCAAAGTGGACAACTACCTATAATGGTTCAAGAAACCTTTAATGACTAAGTTATCATCTGGGGTGCTTGCTCTTGGCATTGACATCATTAAATTATTTATATACTTTTTCATGTAATCATTTAAAAGCATGTCATAACCTTTAAATAAAACTAAAGCACTACTCAGCTCAGCATATAGCAGAGGTCATATGAAAATGACTGACCATAGGAGCTCAAAAGATGATATTTTCTGCTTGCCAGTGAAGGCCACTTAAAGAATATAATGGTTTCCAGCCAGAGAGAAGAATAAAATATGTCATATTTTTTTCAAACAATAAAAGACTATAAAATACAAAGCATTGTGATGGTGAGGATAACAACAAGAAAATAATGAATGTGATATGTTGGAAGCAGAATAAACTGTCAACATGACACTGGGGACTTCTGTAGTAATCTCTATATGAGGGTAAAAGAGTATAAGTAGGTTGGCAACTTCAAAATAGAAAATAAGTGATGCCTTTAGAGAGTCTTGAAGAGATTATTGGCAGCTTATCTATTATCAGCAATCAATTTCTATACCCTCACACTCAAGGTTTATGAAATAAATTGTACAATTGGCATAAAATCTTCCCTCATGTCTAATAAATTGCCTATTATTAATGCATGCAGTATTGTAAATTGCATGGCAAAGCATATGGTATCATTTGAATGTTATAACTTAGTTATGTAACACAAAATTTTCCTTAGGGAAAATAAGTGTTTTGGTACATCACAAAATGACTTTCAGAATATTAAAGAAATAAAGGTTGTGAGGGAGTAAGTACACCTGTTTGTCCTTAACAGTACTAGAACCCTTCACACAAAAATTGTTCATTCTTCTACTACATGACCCATAAATCATTTGCAAAACTTAAAATTTATTTCCTAGGTTATAGTTTAGACACACAGTTCTGAAATGTCACCTGCATGGATGGCTGAAACAGAGACTAGATTTATAAGGAAGGAGTAAAAGAATATAAAGAGATATGGATATGTACTAAAAATTCTGTAGTGGAAACGTGGTTGTATCAAAAAGAGAATCGCTATTGCACTGGAAATGAAGTGCAGGGACTTAAGAAAAAAGACAAATTTATCTTCTAGTTTAAAAGCCACATTTGAAATCATATTTAAAAATGGAAGAGAAGCTTAATACTTTTGAGTGGCCAGTTCCTGCTGGCAAAAAATAGTCAGAACTGGTCTATTTGACAGCTAGATTTTCCAGGGATTGGTGAAAGAAATACATGAAAATGTAACTAGTGATAATTGAACTTGCAGTAGCAATTGACTATAGCCAGGAGTTCTGAGTATATAAAAGGAAAGCCTGTGGAATGACACAACATTCTCAAAATCTAACAGAAAAGAATTGTTTCCTTGAGAGCCTCTCAAATGTCATACTACATGTTGTTCTTCCGAAATATTTGCTCTCCCAACAAACTTTTCATAATTATCTGTATCCAATCTTCATTTTAAAGCAATCCTTTGAACAAAGCAAAGTGCATAAAATGTTAATATTAATATTTTAGAACATCTACGCAGTTAGTATTTCTATATTTTTAATTCACAATTTAATTTTCTTTTTAAAAGAATTCAGTAAGCAGCCATTACCATGAAAGGTGACTTCCATTTTCATTTGTGCCACAGCCCCAGTGCTTGACTTGACTCATGATTTCAATAAATCTTGACAATTTTAAACAAGTAACTTAAATTCCATGAACCTCTGTTTTCCCAGTGGGAGGTTAGATACGACTGAAAATGTCATCAATATTATCTCATGATCAAAAGATGTATTACCTACCTGATGCCTGAATCCCCTCCAGAAATTCCTTGTCATTTTGGTAATCTTTGTGGAAAACTTCTTACAAATGTACAATGCAGTCCATATTTGAACATCTTTCGAGACTATGCTGAGAACTTGTGGAAAATGGCAGATCAGTGGTGACCTCCTGGCTCTCTGCTCCCAGAGTAACAGGCGAAGAACGCTGACAGCTACACATGAGTAGATCGTCCTCCCACAAGAACAGCATTAGGAATCTGCAGAGAGGCAGTAGGGGATAAGTGGCACTGGAAAAAAAAAAAAAGATGTGAATTGGGGAATTGACCACAAAGTCTGGAGAGTGCGAGATGTACAATAGGGAATAGAGCATGGGACGGCCATGCCCATTGGCCAGCCAGGGCACTAAGATCTGACCCACAGGAAGCCAACTCTTCCTCCACTGACTTCCACATCTACTCAGGCAGGGAAGACCCTGAAGTCAGTGCAAAGTTGTGGCACAGATGACAGGCTGTGTAGAGAAGACACAATAGCAGGAAAAATTTTGAACTCTCTAGTGCTCTGTGCTAGGTCCCCAGTGGGCAGGGGGAAAACTAGTCTCAGTGGACACTTCCTGGGCCCACAGGAGGGAGTTTGGAGACAGGCACTTTGCCTCGGGGGCTCAGTGAGGACCAGAACAAAGGAGGTGAATGCCAAAAGGGAGGTTCTGCCCCTGGAAACCACCAAAGATTTGGCTGGCGCAGAGTAGGACAGAGAGTGAAGGAAACCTATACTGGACTGACGTGAGGCACTGGGACAGGAAAACAGTGGGAACAGCCCAGTTGGTGGCTTGTTGAGACAGCCTACCAAACCCAGCACCTGCAGCCCCTCCCCCTCAGTCGCCTCTAGTGCTGGTTCTCTGTGAATGGACAGCCGCCATTTGGGGCTCTACAGCCTAGAAACACTGTGGTGCATTGTGGTTCTGGGCACCACTCCTTTCCCAGAGCAGCAGTGCAAGCTCAAGCAAGGGTCTCAGGCAACACCCCTACCCTGGCCCACAAAGCAGGCCCTGCCCTTGGAGGAGGTGAGTAAGGAGAGAAGCCACTTTCTGAACATTCCTTCTTTAACCTGGCTGGTTGCCTTTCATGCTGGCAAAGCAAACTCCAACCCTGGAGGTGCAGAATGAGAGAAAAGACACTTTCTGGGCTGAGACATGGGGCGGCCTCAGGGAGAGCTCCTGCCCTGGCCCTGCCACTTGTCTTTTGCACAGCTGAGGTAAATCCTGCCCTGGGAGGTGGTGAGTAATTAGAGAAACCACTTCCTTTCAGTGGCCTCAGACAGCCCCCCTCTCCCAGCAGCTTGTCTTTCTTTCAAAAAGGGCAGCCCCTGCCCTTGGAGGAGGGGAGAAACAAGAGAAGTCATTTTCTGGGCTGGGACCTGTGGCAGTCTCAGACAATGCCCATCCCCCAGTCAGGCAGGGCAGACTCTGCCCTGGTAGACAGGGAGAAGGGAAAAAAGTCACTTTCTCTGTGTGACTAGTATGAATCTGTGGGATTTGGGAACTAAACAAAAGGGGACAGACTGTTGATTTGGCCCATAATACCTTGGCACCTGGGCTGCTGCCAGCTTTGGGGCTTGTAGACTGGGAAAGAAAACCCTGGCAGAGTCCTCAGCAATTGCACCAATTGACGCTCCCTACCTGGAGCTGCCTTGCAAGTGTGGTGAAAGAGCCCTGAATAACATACTAGTAGCTCTTCGCTAGCAGCAGATCAAGCAACCACAGAAGTATATGCTATTAGGCTTGCAGGTACCAGTTTCCCTTACAACACCTAATGTGGCAACAGGGCTCAAGTAACTCTTGGGAATGACAAGATATTTCCTAAAGATCATGATACTCATATACACCATTTATGGGTTTAGAACCCATCACAAAGGCATTGGAATATCTTGATAATCGACTCCTCCATGCAAACTACAAGCAACAACAGAGAGGGTAATTACATAGCTCAACACAGTGCCTTCCATCTCGAACTATTGGAGGGCAGTGGAGTCACACACACAAGTGTGATTCACCACTTTGGCCAGCTTAAACAAGGGGTCCAAACTCACTAATCTCCTTTGGCATGAGGTGAAGACAACAAGTAAGAGATAACCCAACGGGCTAAAACACCTCTAAGGCAATACAGAACCAGAGTGCATCTCCCTAGCACTGTTAAGGAACGTCCCTTTGGAGACTTGGCAATAAGGCCATAAACCAGCCCCAGCACCCCCAGTTCTCAACAAAGTAGCCTGATGAGAAAGAATCAGTGGAACAACACAGGAAACACAAAAGATCAGAGAGAAAAGTCACCCTCAAAAGAAAACATTCAATGGCCATCAATTGACACCAACATACATGATATAATTAAACTGACAGAGGAAGAATTCTGAATATGGATTGTAAGAAAACTCAATGGACTTGAAGAGAAAATAGAAGTTCAACATAAAGAAGTCACAAGAACAATACAGGAAATGAATGAAAAATTCTCTAAAGAAATTGAAATACTATGGAAAAAAACAAATAGAAATTCTGGAAATGAAAGACTCATTTAGGGAACTACAAAACACAGTGGAAATCCTCAAGAATAGAATGGATGACACAGAGGAAAGAGTCTCAGAGCTTGAAGATAATGCCTATGTGTTAAGCAAATCAGATGAAGAAAAAGAACACAGAAACAAGAGATAAGACCAAATCACATAAGAAATGTGGGATTATGTCAATAAGGCAAATATATGAATTATAGCCATCCTGGAGAGAGAAGAAGAAAATACACTAGGGCTGAAAAACTTATTTCATGGAATACTGGATGAAAACTTGCCTGGCCTGGCCAGAAATCTAGATGTCCAGATACAAGAAGTACACAGATCCTGGGAGACTCCATGTGAAAAGGCAATCACCGTATCACATAGTTATTTGGTTGACCAAAGTAAACACAAAAGAACAATCCTTTGAGCAGTGAGATGAAAACAGCAGATAACCTACAAGGGAAAATCTATCAGA